GGTTTTATTGAAATTGTCTACCATGAGATCTACAAAGGGATTACGTACAGTTGTTGAGGCTTCTTGTTGTGGTGTTGGCATTGGCTTCTTGATCTCTGGAGGGCCAAGGAGAGATGGTGGTGCCATTGTAGTGGAATTGCTTAGGGTTTTCTGAGAAAGGTTTGCGGAGGACTGCTGTTGATTGGAAGGTGATTTGATGAAGAAAATATGCCCTTGTTTGTGCCTATTTACATTGCCCGTCTGCTTGGTCCCCAAGTTTCTAGTTGTTTTTAAATTTCCAATTTTACTAATATTCTATGAGAAGATTAATCAAAGTCACCACCACTCAGCTGCCGCCATACGATTCCGCGTATAACCGCCTTAAGAAGGTTTTATATATATATATATATATATATAACTAAGGATGAAAAGAATAATTATAAGAAAAGTAACCTTGTCATCCTTATTCTTTATAAGAAAAAGTATATATATAACTATGAAAAGAATAATTATAAGAAATGTAACCTTGTCATATATATATATATATATATTGATCTTTCGTTTTAGATATATTTAGAATAATTGATCATTCAAAATAAATTTGTTGTTGTATTTATATTTATATAATTTTTATTTCATCATGTATGAGAGTTATTGTAAAACTCAATTTTTTATTACTATTCTTTTATTGGATATTAACTATGAAATATTAATTATAAATATTAAAAAAATATTATTCTTTAATTAATGAGAAATCCCCGAATGCCATGATAAAAAAGTTTTCTTCTCCTTCCCAAATTAATATAAGGCATGGATGTAGGAAATATAACTTGCACGCAGTTTTTGAACCTCATCGAAGGATCATCTCAGAGTAAAGTTTTAGGTAATGGGTCAGATAATTTGATTTGGGTTATTTAGTTTTTTATTTTATAAAAAAATAAAAATAAAATCACTTTAAAAAATAAAATATTAAAAAAAAATAATAATTGATTTTGATTAGGCTTTTTCCAAGATGACCAGATTGCCGAGTTTTTTATTAAGTTATATTAAATCAATTTTTTTTATATTTTATTAAAACCTAACCTATTTTAAACCCTAAATCAATTATTAGGTAAAGTTGAATTATAAAATAATAATGAAGCTGCTACATTGCCATCTCTATAAGATCATACTACAAACTAAAAAACTTAAAGTGGATAGGTATACTATTCACGTAAACAGTGAAGTAAGTGTCCTATGTTTTGCTTTCGTTTTTCATCTTTAAATTTTTGTTTGATTTTGAATTTATTTTTTAATCTATCTCAGGTTATTTTTTATGAGGATATTGCAAACTCAATAAATGTTCTAACATTTAATTTGTGCTTAATTTTACAAGTATTTATTTTTATTATTATATAATTAAATAAAAAATAATTTTAAAAAATAAAGTTTTTAAATCCATTGGATTTCATAATTCAAGTTACGGGTTTAATATGTTGTGTCACAAAGTCTAGATTAATCTAGCATGTCATCATCTTAATATTTTAAAAATATTATTTTGATTTTTTTTTAAAATTCAAATCATGGTTTTTTATTTATAATCCAAATTGTTTTTTGATCAATTAAGTTGATTGAATCATATTAAAATAATTTTTATATAATTTAATTTAAATAATTTTTATAAGTGAAATATAAAAGTTTTAAAGTTGACCAATGAAACTAAATTTAATAATAATGCTTAACACGATGCATGAACCAGCACTCAAAAAGTTGAAACTTTCTTTCCTCTCCCATCTCCCTTTCTTTCCTTTTCGGGTTTTTTTTTTTAATTTTTATTTTTATGGGCAACCTAATCCTAGTTTTTGGAACTATAATTATTAATCCCAATTTATTTATTTATTCTAATTTTAACAGTGAAGACATCGTGCACCGGCCAGCTTAAAGAAAATCTATTTGGGTAATGGGGTGGACTTTTGGAGGTATGTAAACATTTATTTATGTTTCGCTCCGATACATGTATTAATAAACATTACGCGCCCTGCAACTCTTGCACAAAGCATAAATAAACAACGCCTGATTCAAGCAAAAGACTTGTTCCTGATTGCTTGGATCAATAATGATCGAATCCTTGATTACTTTATTAATATTTCCACGTCATTGTTAGTTGTGACAATTGAAAACCTCAACTAAAATAAGTTAGTGTATTTGTCAAGATCAATGGAGCATCTCTTTTGTAGATTTGCCTGCCTTGTTGAAGATCTGTCAGTCTAGCTACCTTGGGAGTTAACAGCTTGTAACAATATGATTTATCAACGATCAGATTTAGCTACATGTTTCAAAAAACAGCGAAAGAATTGCTTTCTGTATGATACTAACCATATTTCTCAACATTTTGCAAAAAATTAAAGAAAGATCCATATGCTAATCATATCTAGTTAATGAGGTTTTGACATGATTGGGGGAAGAACAGATAAAATGGTTATCTGGATTTTTGAACTCTTTTTGAAAATAATCTCATATCACTGCATTTTAACAGTCAGAGGATTTCTTTAGTTAAGTCGTGGCAAGTTTATGATTATACAAATCTATGGTTTGGTCGGTAAAACCAGAAACTGGCTATACGGAAAGCTTAATGAAGTTGAATGGAGAATCACCAACACCAAAGTTGTTTCTCTGTCAAAAACGTTGTGAACTCCCACGAACTAAGATCGACATGATAGTCAATAAAGACACAACAAAATAAATGTAATATGCATGCTGGTTCTCTAGTTTAGAAGATAAAAAAAGCGTCTCAACTCATTTCATTAAACAAATTAAAGATTCATGCTCCATTAAATGGATAATGTTAAGGAAAGTCCTCAGATAATAAACTACATTCTAAAGCAGAACAGCCAAATTTCGTGAAAGTAAAATACCAGACACATAAAAAGGCCTAAAGGCAGCAGCAGCAGCAGCACTCTTCCAAAACGCAGCAACAACAAAGAGCAGCCAAACTGCAAGTATGGAGGGATTAGAAGACAAGTGAAGGAAGAAAAGAAGAACTAAGATACATCTAGAGATAATTTAATCATCGAGAAAGAATCTAAATCATTTTCTAGCTTGTGAACAGATCGAATAACTCATAAGCACTAGGAGGATTTACGTTCAATTGCACATTTACTTTACATGCTGGTCAATTGTAACAGGCTGGCTTAATGCCTTCTACAAAGATTAATCTAACATCAATCCTGTTTTCAGGACATGATATCTTGTCTCTTCATCAGCTTCTTTGATTTAGTCCAATAATCTGGATCATTTGGTGCCGATGTGTAGGACAAATCCAAAATTTCTGACCTTTTTTCTCAATCAGGCCAGAGCATCAAGTCTACCAGCAAAGATTTTCTTGTGTGCAAGCTTAGAAAACTAAGAGCAAGCTTTAGGGACTGAAGCAGAGTTGTTTTACAAATTAGGTGCAGACTTCTTATTGGGACACAGCACGTCATTGAAAAGTATGGGGGAGATTTGCTGCCGCATGATTATTATGGGAATCAAGGTTGGTAAAAAATAAGCTGTGCAAGTAGATGCAAATGCTAACACAATGGTATTTTGATTGCTAAGATAGCATGACATTATTCTAATCATGACTTTCTTCTAATGGGTCTATATCCAAAGGGAGTTCAGATTTCTGAGGCTCCTTTCCATCTGAAGTTTTGAATATTGTGCTTTAACCCGCACTCTCTGCGTCCTGCATTCCATATTAGTTCATGAATAATTTATGGAGTTTCTTCTGCTATGAATTACTTCAAGAGTTTAAATTGAATAAGCTTGTGCAAGTTTTTTTTTAAAATTATTCATATGGACGTGGTATACAATCAAATTAAACAAGCCAGGGTTTAGCTCTGGCAAGCATGTTCTCTATTTGCAGGGGCAGACCGACCTACTTGGGGGCAAACAAGTTTTGTGTTAGTCCTTCTGATATGGACCTTTTCTTGTTCCCGTAAGAAATTATAAATCACCCTTATCCCAAAATGTTTTTGAAGAGTTTGAGAGAGTAATTTTGAATTTTCTGTTCAAAATGATGGTTCTCCACATGATCTAGAATACGAATCCACCTACTTTTTTTCCCCTTGTGTATATTAAAACTACATTCCGTACAGCTTCTGCAGAATACTCTGCAAGTTAACAAGTCGGAGGCTAAAGGCCATACATATAAAGAGGGAAAGGTACTTGGGACTCGTAGTTTGGTTGTTTTTTTGATCGTGTACGAGACCTTTCTAAACACACAAACTTGAGCTTTCTAATCATGAAAGCCATTAAGACCTTATGAAAAGCTTTCAAATCACTCTCACACCAGCGACCCCCCACAAATCCTCACGATAAAGTCAAAACCTTTTCCTCTTTGTGCAATAAAATGGAATCTCAGTAACCAATCGAACATGCAAAATCAAACCAACGTAAAAAATCAAGCCAAGAAAGCAATCAAAGAAAATAATATTTTTTTTATGTGAAAAACCTTGGCGCGGGGAAAATCATGGTGTCGTATCGTAGCTCACTCAAATACTTCTACTCTATCAATAATAGGCTCATAAAGGTTTCCTCTGTTCTCAGCTAGAAGCTATATAAATCATCACCAAGCTGCAGTTAGACCACAGCAACATCAATTTCCTTACCACTAGGATGAATCTCAACAGAAAAAAAGTGTGAGTCTCACCAAGTGGATGATTCTTGGTGAGCAACACAATTCAACTTGAAGAGCTCTTTACTGGGAATGGTATGTTAAAATCTCATCTCAACAGGGCTTCGAATTACCATCAGATAAAGGATTTAAGCATGAAATGCTACATTTCCTCCTCTCAAAAAACCATTTTGACAAAATAACCACTTCCTCTAATTGTGTTCTAGCAAAGGATACCAAATAAGCCAAATGTCACCTTTATACCGTCACCCATGGCATGAGTTGAAGTGAAACACTAATTGCTATTGCTTCCTTTGCCTTTTAATTTTAACTTTGAAATGGTTAATACAAATCGATGGGACTCCATAATTTGTAACCATACCAATTATAAGGGAAGTTCTTCTTTTTCACATTCATATACATACATAAGAGATAGTTGTTACAGACATCCAAATTTCGATCCGGTAAAGGTTGGTGTAAGTTCTTCTGCTTAATGGGGAGAAAAACTGGTCGAGTTAGGGAGAAAACAACACGAAATAAAACAAAACAACCACCCTCTAAGAAGTAACACCAATGGAGACATGGTCGCCTATTTCTACAACAAATTTTAAAGGCTCAATAACATGGGTAAAATTAATTTCAACGGAAGCGTAGACCCAAATGAGATGCACTCCAGATCTATGAAAAAGAAGAAACAATTTGCATCATCATAATTGTTTAAAAGACGCGGAGCCAAAGACTAATAGAGTCAGAGATCACACGTACCATCCTCTTAGGAATGAACAGCAACCACTACTTCCCCCATGATCATGACGAACATGGTAAGCGTGAGAGGGTGGAGGAGGAGGCGGGGGCCCTTCATAGAAATAGCTTTGATAACCAGGTGGAGGTGGTGCAGGCACTGGCGGGGGTTGAAAATCTGGCGGGGGATATGGAGGTCGAATCCCTGAATTTCATAAAACATTGTCACAAAAAAATGCATATGCACCCCGGTCTTCTTCTTGCTGGAAAAAAAAAATCAATTTTGCTAAAGGGAAAATTGAACCAAAAAGAAAGGGTGAACATGGTCAACTCTTGGAGACTTACCTTGCGGCGGTGGTGAATGATGGTGGTGGTGGTGGTCACTCATTTTGCTAGAGGTTTTGACAGCAGAGAGAGTGAAGAAGAGAGTGCAGAGATGGAAAAGCTGTTTGAAACAAAATAAATAGCACGTACTAGTCTTTTAAAACGTAACTGTGGTGGTTACCTCAGAAGGCAGTTTCCCAGTGAGATTACAGACGTGATCTCTTATTAAGGTTTTAATTATTGGTTTAATTACCTAACCTCTCTTCAAAGTTCAATCGTTGTGTCAATGGACCAGACAAACCATAACTAACTTTCAAGCTTCAAAATATCAACTTCTCATCTTAGGATACACTAGGCCATTGCCTTTCTACGCTAAGTTTTGGTTCAGGTAATTTTTTTTTGATATAAAAAAATGTCCAAGTGATATTGATATGTTTTTGGTAAAAAAATAAAACAAAAAAATAATTTAACATGATTTGATTAACTTGATATATTTAAAAATAATTTAAAAAATTAATAAAAATATAGTTTAAATAAAAAAATTAAGAAAATATTTTTTTATATTAAAATAACAACATATTAAATTGACTTGTATCAACTTGGTTTAATCTATCATATTCACTACTTAGATCATGAAACCTTGATAACTCTATAAAAAATAAATTTAAAAAAAATATTAAACTCAATTGTCAATCAATTCAATGTTGAAGAATGAAATTGAAAATAAAATCTAATTAAATAAATTACCTAAGTCAATCCAGATTAACTTGTCAAACTTGGATCATAAGTCTAGGATAATTTTATAAAAAATAAATCAAAATAAATTATAAAAATTAATCTCCAATATTAAGGGATGAAATAAAAAAAATATAAAAAAACACTTAAGTCAACTAGAATCAACTAACCAAACTTGCAATTTGTGTCATGAAATTGAAATAATCTCACGTAATGCAAACCAAAATAAATTATAAAAGCTAATTTCTAATAAACTCAATATTAAAAAATAAAATGAAAAAAATTCAACTAAAAAAAGATAAAAAATCGCGAGTCAACCGATATAACCCGTGATCTTGGTCATAAGACTGTGATAACTCTATTGAAAAAAAATAAAAAAAATTAGAAATCTCAATTCTCAATCAATTCAATGATGAAGGATTAAATTAAAAAAAACAATAAAAAAAAAACTGATGGGAGTCAACCCAGATTAACTTACAAAAACTGGGCTAAGAGACCAAAATAACTCTATTGAAAACAAATAATTTTTTTTTATAAATTTATATTTTTTATCAACTCAATATTGAAAGATGAATTTGAAAAAAATATTTAGTTTAAAAAAATAAAAAAAACCTGAGTTACCCTAGCTAATTTGTAAAACTAACAACTCGAGTCATGAGACAATGCTAAACTCCATAGAAAGAAAATTAAAAAATAATTATGAAACATAATTCTTAATTAACCCAATATTGGGTGATGAAGTTGAAAAAAAATTAATTAAAAAAAAGATAAAAAATAACTCGATCCAACGCGACTAACCTACAAAACTCGCGACCTGAGTCACGAGACCATGATGTCTCGTATAAAATAAATTAAAAAATAATTATAATCCTTAATTTCTAATCTAATATCAAAAGATAAAATTAAGAAAAAAACTAATTAAAAATAATTAATCAACATGGTTAACCAATAAAACTCACAGCTTAAATCATAAAATTAAAATAATTTCATATAAAACAAATCAAAACAAATTATAAAGATCTATACCCAATAAATCTAATATTAAATAATAAAATTAAAAAAAAAACCTTCAATTTTTTTAAGTCAAAATAAAAAAAGATTTTGTTTTCACTATTCATTACTACAACAAAAAAAAAAACCCAAGCCATTCTAATATTTTCAATAATAATAATAATTTAATAAAATAAGTGGCTCTATCCTCTAATAATTAAACTCTACCATACAGTCGTACCTTAGCTTCCTCAATTTTGAATTAAGAGATTACTCACATGCTATGCTGTCTTTTATTTTAAATGATCCAGACTGGATATGATTATACACAAATAAAGATATTGAGTCTTTTTTAAATAGGTTCTGTTTATCAAAATAATTTTAATGCATATTTGTAACACGTGTTTCTTATCCATTACCACGTGTCAAACATCAAAAACTTAATTTTTATTTTATTTATCTCGTGTTGTAAAATATATTTATAAATCTTAGCTTAATGGGTTAATTTGATCATTCATCGATTTATAATTTAATTAAGATTAGGTTTTACATTGATTTTCTTATAACTAAAATAATATCGTTTTATTTGATAACCTAAAAGAGAGAGCCTGGTTGTTCTTCTGGTACATGGGCTTTGCATTTGGGCTGCACAGTCCAGCCTCATCATCAATTATTTGATCGGTCCATTTCGAGAATCGCAAAGATGATTCGCTGTACGTTTTTTGGCAAATTACTATCATGTCATTTTAATTATAAAAATAAAAAATAAAATAAAATCTGTAATTTTCACGAAGTTAAATTCTCAATGTTGAAATCAAGTCTCCCAGGCCAGCTTTCACACACGTGTTGAAAAGAGGATGCCACGGATGGTGAGATTGGGATCCTCTCATCAGGTCCCCTCATTGATAACACCTTTGGCTTAAAGTTGTTGATGACATGTTTGGCTATCCAACCAGAACAGATGAGCTATTAAAAGGTCTGGAATAACTGTAAGTATTGTTTTTAAAGTTGTTTTTCTTTAAAAATATATTAAAATATTTTTTTTAAGATTTATTTTTAATATCAAAATGATAACAAATAATAATTTAAAATAATTTTTTTTCAAAAAATATAAAAAACTGCTCCAAACAGTCACGAAATGGCACCTAGCTTGCTAGAAACTTCTTGGTTTCTTCTCCTGCTCGCATCAACATGTCAAGAAGACAAATATTCCAAAATCAAATGGTTCTCCGTTTACCTAGATGCCGCCTCTGGAAAGAGCATAATAGGACAGCAGGCTAAGAACGTTCTTGAAAATCTAGAAGGTTGATTTTATCAAGAGTCTTCATTGCAAAGGAAAGGAAACCGTGTATTGGTAGTATGAACAGCCAAAACCTGAATCTCCATAAATGGGCAGCTCTCCTAGCGCTTGAGTGCTAAAAAACAATCAAATCTTACAAAAGCCCACCGAAAGAATCAATCAATTTTGAACTGCCAGCTTTTCTCTTTTGCTCAAAATCTACCTCCCATTCAACTCCATTTAAGTAAAGATGACAAGCACCCCTCAAGAGGCAGAAGCCCAACGTGTGTCATACCCAACAGTACAATCATCTCCTGAAGCTAAAGAGGCAGAATTCCATGAAGCAACCTCATCAGCCACTGTCACAGAAGAACCACAGCCTAAAAATCAACCACCGGCATCAGACGAGGAAACCAAGAAATGGGGCACCCATATCATGGGAGCCCCAGCAGCACCTAACGTCCACCCTGAAAATCAACAAGCTGCCTTATGGAATCCCAGCGGGCACCAGCAAATCTACGAGTATCCATACCTGGTTTATACACCAGTAGAAAAATCAGAAAAGTCAGCCCAGAAGTCACTCGAACCTGTGATTCAGAAATTCCAAGAATGGGGCAAGAAAACAGAGACCGTAGCCCGTAACATCTGGCACAATCGTAAGTTGATATGCAATCATTCATAAAACTAATACGAACTTGACCTTGATTATGTAGATCATATGATCGTGGCGAAATGAGCATGTTATGATGCCAGTTAACTGTTAGGATGTTGGCATGCAAACCCGACAAGACAAAAGGTAAGGGACAAGATAAAATGAGAAATGACACACAAGAATTTACGTGGTTCACCCAATTTGGCTACGTCCACGGGCAAGTATAGAAGAATTTTACTAAGTAATGTGGGAATACAACTTCTCTCTAATAATAGGAGAACAACAAAAATCTCTCTATTATTAGGAGAAAACACCTCACTTACTATCTCACAAATACCTCACAATTTTGTGGGATTACTCTCTTCTCACCCTCTCTTCTTTCTCTCTTATGGTGTGTCTATAATGCTTGGATGCATTGCCTATTTATAGGCAAACATCCATGCAAAAGACAAGAGGTTAGGCAAATAGCACCAATTTGGTGCATACAATTTTTGACTAAGATGGCTACACCTTCTCCCACCATTTTTGACTAAGGTGTAAAAGGATGACTACACCTTCTCCCACCATTTTTGACTAAGGTGGTTAGCTTCACATTCTCCCACTTGAAGACTTTGATGATTGAATCAAGTCTTCACACTTGATCATTTGTGCTTCTTCTATCCTTTCTATACTTGCCATCTTCATGCTGCTTACGTTTCTGCTAGGCCGTAAGAGGATCTGCACCATATATACTTATCAGTGTTAACCGGTTTCGTCAAAGCATCTGCTGGGTTTTCCTTTGTGTGAATCTTCTGAAAATCCACACTTCCATCTTCCACCACTTCACGAACAAAGTGATACTGAACATCTATGTGTTTTGTTCTTGAATGAAACGCTGGATTCCTTGCAATATGCAAGGCACTTTGACTATCACAATACAAAAGAATATTCTCTTGCTTGTGCCCGAGTTCCTCCATAAGTTTCTTCATCCATATTGCTTCTTTACAAGCTTGTGTAGCTGCCATGTACTCAGCTTCTGTTGTGGATAACGCTACAACAGTCTGAAGTTTAGAAACCCAGCTCACAGCTCCTCCTGCAATTATGAACACATAGCCTGTAGTGGACTTCCTTTTCTCAAGGTCACCAGCAAAATCTGAATCAACATATCCTCTGATAGTAAATTCTGATCCTCCATAACATAATGCAACATCTGAGGTACCCTTGATGTATCTCAAGATCCTCTTAATAGTATTCCAATGCTCTCTACCAGGATTTGCCATGTATCGACTAACTGCTCCCACTGCTTGTGCAATGTCTGGTCTTGTACATATCATGGCAAACATTAAACTTCCCACTGCTGATGCATACGGTACTCGAGACATCTCCATCCTCTCTGCTTCATTGCTAGGAGACATACTTGAGGATAATTTAAAGTTAATAGGAAGTGGGGTGGAAATTGGCTTACAATCTTGCATGTTGAAGCGTCGCAAGATCTTCTTCAAATAATTCTTCTGAGAAAGCCAAATCT